CCAAAACAAAACTCTACAAAGTCAATTCTGACTCAATGTGATCCTATGAAACAGCAACGAACTGCCTCGAAATTGTCATCTCTATAGAAGCCGATTGCTACATCTTTCTCTTGCATAAAGTGGTTGGGTTTGAACTGTTGACCTTTTGGCAACAGTATAATTAGGCAGCTGAGTGCCTAACTTCTGCACTATTGGGGTTCCTAGTTTTGCTTCATGGGAGAATGATAAACAATTTCCTTCTGCATTCTTTACTGTCCCTGAAATCCCAATGGAGGGTCAGCTATGGGTCAATTCCCATCTGATGGCACACAACAGTTATAAACACACACAACAAGTTATAAAAAACAAATGTTAAATAATGTAACCTAGACTGATATAATTGTAAATTGTTATTCATCATTATAACAAAGAGGGAGCTCTGATGGTCAAGTGGCTAAGGAGTTATGCTGCTAATTCAAAGGTAAGCAGATACGTAGTTCAAATCAACCAGCTACTCTGTGAGAGAAAGATGAGTAGACCCCATCTGTGAGATTTATAGCCTTTGAAAATCTGCTCAAAGGTCATCTATGAATCTGTTTCAACTCAACAACAATTAGTTGAGTGTTGCAGAGACAACATGAAGGCTTTATATTACTTTCTTCAGTTCTGGTCACTGGAGAAGACCACATTTCCCAAGGTTTTCTGAAGTTGTTGTTGTTTACCATTGAGTTGGAATTAACCCATAGCTGATCCTCCCATGGGTTTTCAGAGATAATAAATTGCATGGAGGGAGATTATCCATCCTTCCCCTGCAGAGCAGTTGGTGGATTTGAACAACAGGCCTTTGGGATTAAAATGCAGCTTCTTGCCACTAGCAAATAAGATGTGGGTGGAGTTGACACTACTACTTTCCAGGTCTGGCCAAGAACTCATGGTACGATCCTCTGGCTTTCTCTCCCTTGACATAACATGTATACTTGGAACTCTGGCTTGTGGTTTCTAGTTACACTATGCACAACCTAATAAAGTGCTGTGCAGAAGGGCCCCATTCTCATAACCATTGCCAGGTCTTTCTGAACCCGTTGCTACAGCCACTGGGTCATCATCAGGTTAAGGATCTTTTTCTTTTTCACGGAACTTATGCTTTACCAAGAACAATGTCAGGGACTTGTCCTTGATAACATGTTCAAAGTATGGTAGATAAAAATCTCACCATCCTCAATTCTAAGTTACGTTCTGATTGTATTTCTTCTAGTATAACTCTGGAATACCACTTCTATTGTTGCTGTGTACTGTAGAGTCGGAACTGACCCATAGCTGACCCTCCTGTGGGTTTTCAGAGGTAGTTACTTGCACGGGAGGGGGTCTCACATTCTCCCCCTAGGAGCAGCTGGCTTCCTTGAACCGTATGCCTTTAGGATTGCAGCACAGTTTCTTGCCACTAGACCAGCAGAACTCCCTAGAATACCATTACTGTGTGTCTAATAAGTGCAACCAGAGAGTTCTGGTGACACAATCTGTAGGGAATGGCACCGATAACCAAATATCACATGCTTCTCTGCCTGTTCAAATCCACCAGTGGCTTTGGAAATCTCCTCCCATGTGCTTTGCAGCCTCAGAAAACCTGCTAGAAGATCAGCTATGAGTAGATTCCAACTTGGCAATAAGGAGTTTGAGTTTTGAATAAATGCAAGCAAAACTGTGTGTGTTGTTAGCACTGCCATTTGCAGGGTATTTTGTATCTCTAACATAACTTAGTTCATCCTGACAAAAACAACCTGTTTAACACACTTAAAAAAAGTATTGCCTTTAACTAAATAACAATCATGGGATTTAGGGACTAGAAAATCTGATAAGAATGACAAATAAATTTGAACTTGGTACTTTTACATAGTTACTTTTAAAATTATTGCAAATATTTTTTTAATTTTTAAAATAATTTTAATGAACATTTACAGAGATTTTGGATTTCCATTCATTCATTGCTGCGCTTCTCTGCCCGCCCAGCCCTCCCTTCCATCCCAGTTTGCTCCTCTCTTTGAAAAGTAAAATAAACACTCTCTCCTTGGTACACAATCCCCCCGCACCCCTCCCACCACCCCAAGTACATTCCACTATGCAAGTAAGACAGCATTTTTAAATTCATTCACAGGTATACAAACTTATTTTATTCTAGACTATATTATGCTGCTTAAACAGTAAAAGCAATAGAATTCACAACTGGATATTTGCCACCTACAAACTAAAAATCTGTAAGCATTTTCAAATGTGCCAAATTTATAGGGTTTGTATTTTTTTAGGCACTGGTAATTTTTTTTCACTATTTTATTTATCTTCATCTCTTAAATGCATTGTTCAAATACATTGCCTGACACAGCCTTAATCTAATCCAACATGCTTTGTTTGACCTTGTGATCTTCCCATCTTCTGCAGTTATGTCAATTTCATGACATAACAAGTGAAAGAACTTCAAGACTTCCCTGCTGGGAAATTGACAGTGCTTCTGCATAAAAATACTTCCCTACATAAGAGCTCTTATTTATTATATTAACAGAAAACAGAAGAAGGATTTGCATTTTGAGTGCTATGGAAAAAGATCCCAAAGTCATCAGTTGCTCTGAGCAACATATTGTACATGTTACCACATGACAATTGAGATACACACTCATTTGTTAATCTCTGCAGTGGCAGTTCTTACCATTCTGAAGGGAGCAAACCATATTCCAGGAGGTTTATCTGAAACAGGTTAAGGGTGATAACCTTATTATGACTATATATCAGAACAATTTTCTGCTTCTTTTGGAATTATGCATGTGAACACATAGAACTGCCACTAGCTTATAATATATCCTTATGCAAATATAAAAAGGCACTGCTTCTAGGCAGATAATTTTAGAAAGAGGTGAACTAACTCTGTAAGAACACACAATGACCCTGTGACCACATCTGAATATGATCTTCATGTCAAATAAGATTTGATATTTGTTTAGAGACTATCATCAGCATTAATCAATGCCAAGAGGGTTAGAATATAATTGTAAAAAGAACAGGTTTCTATTTTTTTTTATGAGGGTTCACCGGTAACATTTGTTTTAAGTATCGCTGTTTAGGACTACTATATACCTACACGCTGAGACACTAACTCACTGTATTTTTCTCTTTTCTCTGACTAGTGAAAAAGCAAGAATCAAATTTCTTATCTGCTTTAGAGGTTTGCACTTTGGTTGCAAGTGATGAAACTCTCACTTAAACTGACTTGAAAGGGGAGTTTGACTAGTTCAGAAAAGTTGCTTAATCTCAGAATTATTGACAGTTGAAGGTGAATGATTTGGGTTTGTTTTTTTGTTGTTGTTATGGAAGATGACCTATGCAGTTTTTCCCATTTTTATTGTGATGTTAATGAAAGTTTATTGAAAAGGTGGGTTTTGAATGCATATAACTTGGTCTAGGGCCTTAAAGTGAGATGGTTCTATGTGCACGGTAATTCCTCACCAGTGGGTCTCTCTGTATTAGGCATTCTGTTCCATCTAGGTAGTCAGTTTTCTGCCTGATGGGCATGAGGATTATTTTTATTTTCATGTCACCATAAGCAAAGTTCTTTTAAAATCACTACATATATTTTATTAAAATGTACACTAGGTTCTAAAGAATGTGTATTTGAAGTTCTCACAGGAACTTCCAGGTGACTTAACAATGTACAAGATACAAAAGTGCCTTTATCAATGTTAGTCAAAGCTGCAAAAAAAGAACCCTGTTCCACTGCTATCAATTTACATTTTTTTATTAATAAATTTTGTTTCGGCTTTTGCTGTGAAAAAAAAAGTTGGTTTTTAATGTATTCACTGTTGTGTATTTTCTGCCCTCCTGCTGCCTTCCTGAGTCCACTTTGTCATACATCTCTTATTCCCATTTTTTTCCCTACTTGGCTATCCAAAGTTTTCCAAGATTTCTGCCAAATGTCCTCTGTCTGGAGATGGAGAAGAGAAAGAAGAGGGTGAAACCTTATCCTCTACTGAGATCACTGGCTCAGAAAACAAAATGACTGAAAAACGTTCCGGACAGGATCACACCTATTTCTACCCAAAGGAAGCCTGGGGAAAATTCCTTAACATCTCTGAATCTCAATTGTGTTTCTTTCACATGTAAAATGGGGTAAATACTTCAACACAGATTTGAAAAGAAAATGACAGGCCATGTAAAGAGCAAAGCACACTGATTTCCATTGTTGTTTCTTGTCAAGTCAACTTGGGCTCATAATGACCCTACTGTATACAACAGAACACACTTTCCCCATTCCTTCAGCATCACCACAAGCTACTCTGCACTCAATCCCATTGCTTCAGTCACTGTGTCAATTCCTCTCTCTTTGAGAATCTACTTCTTTGCTGACTTTACTTTTTCAAGCATGGTGTCTTTTTCTATGGACTGGCCATTCCTGATAATATATCCCAAATTCTTGTGACAAAAGTCTCATTGCCCTTGCATTTAAAGAGAAAGCTGGTTGTGCTTTTTCCAAGACAAATTTGTTTGCTACTTTGGAAACCCATGTTATGTTCAAACAAACAGATTCACCCTAGAGAGGGTTAAACCAGGCTGCTCCTTGGAGGCAAGGATTCTGGGGCTTCATCTGACATACTTTGGACATGTTGTAAGGAGAGACAGGTCTTTGGAGAGGGACATCATGCTGGGTAGAGTAGAGGGACAGCGCAGGAGGGGAAGACCCTCTATGAGGTGGATTGATTCAGTGACTGGGGTAATCGGGATGGGTGCGTCAGAGGCAATGCGATTGGCACAGGATAGAGCACGGTTTAGGGCTGTTGTACATAGGGTCGCTATGAGTCGCAAACGACTCGACAGCACATAACAACAACAACAACAACAACATGGCATGTTCAATACTCTTTGTCAACTCTTCAGTTCAACAGCATCAATTTTTTATTCATGGCCTAATTTTCATATGTAGAAAGAGATTGAAAATACCATTGCTTAAAAAAAAATACCCTTTTCTGAGAAAACACCAAATGGCGGATGACGCCGGTGCAGCGGGAGGGCCTGGAGGCCCGGGGATGGGAGCCAGCGGCGGTTTCCGCGGAGGCTTCGGTAGCGGTCTGCGGGGTCGGGGCCGTGGGAGGGGCCGCGGAGCTCGAGGAGGCAAAGCCGAGGACAAAGAGTGGCTCCCCGTCACCAAACTGGGCCGTCTGGTGAAAGATATGAAGATTAAATCATTGGAGGAGATTTATCTTTTCTCCCTGCCCATCAAGGAATCTGAGATCATCGACTTCTTCCTGGGCATTTCCCTCAAGGATGAGGTGTTGAAAATCATGCCAGTGCAGAAGCAGACACGTGCTGGCCAGCGGACCAGATTCAAGGCCTTTGTTGCCATCGGAGACTATAACGGCCATGTTGGCTTGGGCGTCAAGTGCTCCAAGGAGGTAGCTACTGCTATCCGTGGGGCCATCATTCTAGCCAAGCTCTCCATTGTCCCTGTGCGGCGTGGCTACTGGGGGAACAAGATTGGCAAGCCTCACACCGTTCCCTGCAAGGTGACTGGGCGCTGTGGCTCTGTGTTGGTGCGTCTGATCCCTGCACCCCGAGGCACTGGAATCGTCTCGGCCCCTGTGCCTAAGAAGCTGTTGATGATGGCTGGAATTGATGACTGTTACACCTCAGCCAGGGGCTGCACAGCTACCCTGGGCAACTTTGCTAAGGCCACCTTTGATGCCATCTCAAAGACCTACAGCTATCTGACCCCAGATCTCTGGAAAGAGACGGTGTTCCCGAAGTCTCCCTACCAGGAATTCACAGATCATCTTGTAAAGACTCACACCAGAGTCTCCGTGCAGAGGACTCAGGCTCCAGCTGTGGCCACCACCTAGTGGATTTTCTATAACAAATAAAGTGAATTATGTTCTAAAAAAAAAAAAAATACCATTGCTTTGGCCAAAGTACACCTGACTCTTTGAATGAACATACTTACTCTTTTGTACTTTAAAAAGATTCCTGACAGCAGATATTCCCTAACTAATATACCCCGATTTCTTCACTGCTGTTTCCAAGAGTGTTGATTATGGATCCAAATAAATCAAGTCCTTGATAATTTCAATCTTTTCTCCATTTATTATAATGCTGCCTATTTGTCGAGTCACGTGGATTTTTTCTTTTTTTATTTTGAGGCATAGGCAGTACTGAAAGCTAAATAAGTTTTTATCTACTAGAATAATTTACTCAGCCTATATAATGAACAGCATTGGTTAAGGATACAATCCTAACCGACACCTTTCCTGATTTTAAACCTTTAAGTATTCCTTGCTCTGTTCACAAGTGACTGCTTCTTGATCCATGTGTAAGTTCCTTGTGAGCACAGTTGAGTGTTCTGGAAATCCCATTCTTTTTAATGCAATCCATAATTGATCGTGATCCACATAGTCAAATGCATTTGGATAGTCAATGAAATACAAGCTAATATATTTCTGATAGTCTCTTCCTTCAGCCAAGGTCCATTTGAAATTAGCAATGACATCCGTGGTTCTACAGTCTCTTCTGAATCCAGCTCAAATTTGTAGCAGTGCCCTGTCCTGTTAATATTACCTAGTAAAATTTTAATTCATACCAATTACTCATTTTTTTATCAAAAAGGTCTTATGTTCAGTGTACCATGGTTTTCAGACCAATGCCAGGGTTATACTTCATTCTTGGTTAATACTAAATGAGTGTCTTATACAAAGTAATATGATCTAAGAACTTTTTTTAATATATAGATTTTTCAATACTGAATCCAATTTCTTTATATAAACATGTCTTCTTGTCACTAGGAGGAAGTTGACAAACCATTGATCAGGAATGTGGTTGTGAAAAAAAGTGCTAGTTTGTTGGCAAGTGCAAGCCATTTAAAAATAACTTTAATCACTGAGATTTATGTGATCATCCTTCCTACTTTGTCTATTTTAATTATGTCTTATCTTTTTCTAAAGATAATTTTAGGCTACTACTTCCTTATTAATTTAAAGAAGCTTTTTTGGGGGAAGAGGGACAGATTTCAAGAGAGGATGTGTGCTGCCAGAAGTTGCACGTAAAAATCTGAGAAGATTTTCAACAATCAGATGAGGTTTTTCTCCTGTGGCCCATCTATTTTACTCAGAGATTATAAACTCAAGTGCCTGCAGGATGTAGTGAAATTTTGTCACTCAGGAATGTGTATTTAGAGCCTCTGTTGAGAGCTATTTAAAAAAAAAAATAAAATACTATATCTGTGAGTTTTATCTAGTTTTAAAATTATGATTTTAGACTTTAATGAGAAAATTTTTTTCTTAAAAATATCCCTCCAACTCATTTCCTTTGAATAAGGATCAATTCATAGCTGACCCTCTAGTGATTTCTTTTTCCTAGCCTGCTACATGAGAGGAGATTGCGCATATTTTCTCCTCAAAGTAGTTAGTGGATTCAAACCACCTGCCTTTGAGTTGTCAACACAACTCCTTCACCACTAGGCCAACAGTAGTTAGAAATCAAATATGTTCTTTTTGGGAGATAAAGTTGCAATAGAACACTGCTGTTGTTGTTGTTGTTATTGTTATTTTTGTTATGTGCCCTTGAGTGGCCTGCTACTCAGTGCGACTCTACGTACCACAGCCCTAAACCCTGCTCTATCCTGTGCCACTCTAATTGTCTCTGACACAACTTACCCTAGTCACTGAATCAACCACATTTCTGTGTCTATGGATGTCCCTGCACAAGAAGGGCTGGCTGATCCCACCCTATATTTGTTTATATATGGCACCTGCAGCTAATCCGAACAGGTGTGTCTCTTCATTGTGAACTGGGTAATGAAAAATATGTTTATAATCATGGTTTATAACCTATTAAATTTAATGCCCCATGCCTCATAAACCTGGGGCTCTTTTAGTGGCAGTTGTTGATATTGGTTTAAATGCATATTTGCTGCACTGTTCATACAGATTTCTTTAGGTTCAATGTACTATTACACTTAACACACACCACCCAATATCACAATAAGAGTCTTGAATTTATTCAAAGAATTGTGTGTCTTTGGCCTGAGTGCACAAGCATGGAGACGAATATGCACCATTTAATCATCTGATGAGATCCAATGACTGAACACTGTTCTTTTCTACATAAGGGTCAATTCTAGGACTTTTGGTTCTAGAATTCAAACCTAACAATCAGTTATTGCAAGTAGCACAGGTGCTGGCTCATTCTGGCCTAGGATGCGATGCGTGAAGAGCATGGAATGTCTAAGTATTTCATAGCTCTGTGAGAACAGTACTTAGAGATACTTTTCATTTCTTTTAATTTTTCATTCAAGATTGACTGTCAGTGGGAAAATATTTCCTTAATCCACTCAATTATTAGCTGGTTTTATTGACTGTTAGCTCCCCCAGAACTCCTAGAATTATTACAAGAGGGTTAGTGTTAGTGACTTTCATGCCTTACATATTTAACACTTACTTTTCAATGATCAAAAATTATATTTCATACTTAATAGTTTTGCATAGACAAAGAATACTGCACCACCAGATTAAGAAGAGGTTAAGCTATTGCCTTAGAGTGGACTTACTGTCGGATAAACTCAGTAAATTGTAATACTTAGAAATACATCAAGGAAATGACTTACATAACTGTGGAGGCTTGCAAGCTACAAAACTATGAGTCAGATGACGGGATGGTTGCATCTCCTAACTCATATGATTGTAGGGCTTGACAAACCCCAAATCAGAGAGACTGCTGGCTCGGGGGGCTGCTAGCACTAGAAAATCCCCGTAACTACAGGTCAGAAGTCAGACAGCTAGCAAACATCCCAAGGTCATAGAATGACAATTAGGACTTAGGGTAGGTTGGTTAATTACAAGTGGATGTAAGATAGAGAACAAATGAACTTTGCTAGAATACCCATATTTATTGGATGCAAGCAAAGGAAAACATACTTTCAGATGATTGCTGCTCGTGGAAGATGACTATATTATATCCGCCAAACCACTAAGAATAATGGCCTGGTCAAATTGAAACATAAATGCAACTATCGTGGCCACTTTTCGATAACTCAGAATTATGTTTATTATAAGATTTACTTTCATTTTCATCTTCTTTTGACTAATTGTGAGCATATTATTTGGGTTTTCTTCTGCTTCATTTCTGACTTTAAAAAATAGTTACATAATTATATCTATACATAATTACCTTCTTTAGAATGACTCATAAAAATAGAAAAGCCATTAGGAAATTTGAACAAATATTGTCTTTCAAGAAATTGTTGTAATGTGCTTTCAAGTAAAAACCTACTCATAGCTGGCCCTCGAGCAGGTTTTCAGAAGCTTTAATTACACAGGAGATTGCCCATCTTTTTCCCCACGGAGCAGCAGGTGGATTTGGCATTGACAGTACAATACCTTACCCTGTTGGCCACCAGAGCTCCCTTTAAGGAAGATTGTTGATGTTACGTACGGTCCAGTCAGAACAGACTTACAGCTGACTCTCCAGCAGGCAGTAAATCACATGGGAGGAGACCCCTCCTCTCCCTCTTGCAGAGCAACTTGTACGTTTGAACCATGAACGGACTTTTGGGCTGTGGCACAACTCTTTACTACTAGGTCTCCAAAGCTTCCTTTTTAAGATATCAAACCATTGTATTTTAAGACAAACACAAACATACAAGATTCTGAATTCTCAGCATTTATAGTATATCAAAGGCCACGTTATTGCTCTAGCCATAGGCAAAATGATATGTATTAAATGCACAGAAAATAACTGAGCAAGGAATGTGTGAAACACAATATGCATGATTGATAGACAATGTGTAAGAATTCTGTATGCAAATTCTTGGAGGCTAGGATTTTGAAACTCTATCTCATATATTTTGGCCATGTGGCTAGGAGAGACTGATCTTTGGAGAAGGATATGATGCTTTGAAGGAAGTAGGGATAGTATAAGAGAGGAAGCCCCCAGTTGAGAAGAATTGATGCAATGACTAGGGCAATGGGGGTAGGTGTGTCAGAGTCAGTGAGATTGGCTCAGGACAGGGCAGGCTTCAGAGTTATTGTACTATGAGTCACAGGCAACTTGACAGCACATAACAACAACAATGATATGTTGTTGTTATTGTTGTTGTTATGTGCCGTCGAGTCGCCTGCGACTCATAGCGACCCTATGTACAACAGCCCTAAACTCCGCTCTGTCCTGTGCCAATCGCACTGTCTCTGACACTCCATCCCAATTATCCCAGTCACTGAATCAATCCATCTCATAGATGCCTTCCTCTCCTTCGCCGTCCCTCCACCCTCCCAAGCATGATGTCCCTCTCCAAGGACCGGTCTCTCCTCACAACATGTCCAAAGTATGTTAGACGGAGCCTCAGAATCCTTGCCTCCAAGGAGCCACCCGGTTTAACCCTTTCCAGGACAAATCTGTTTGATAAAGTGGGAGAAAAAGAAATAGTCATTTGAAGTAAGAATTGGAAAATACATAGGTATAAAGAAAGTTGTGTGGTTTTATGTCAGAAAACAGAAGATAAAAATCTCAAGTGTGACACTAGCTATGATCTTGGGCAAGATGTGAAAGATTCTTCCTGTGGATTGGTATAATCATCCATAAAAAGAAAATAGTAGTATGTAACTTCCAATATTATTTCACAGCTGAAATAATAGGATTTATGAAAATATTATCACAGTATTTGTCACATGGTGAATGCTTTGTTGCTCCTGTTGTGTTGTTGAGTTGGAACTGACTCATAGCTGACCCTCCAATGTTGTTTTAAAAGAAGTTATTTGCTTGGGAGATTTCCCCATGATTCTCCTGTAAAGCAGCTAGTGGACTGGAACTGTATACCTTTGAGGTTGCAACCTAG